TCACATCGTTTTGCAGGGGTCGCTTTCCTTTACCTCTTTTCCATAACTATTGACTCATTCCTTTGTTCTGCTCAAGAAGAAATATAGAAGCTCCGCAGGAAATTTATAGCGGTTTCTGTACTGGCAAAAGTCATGACCTGGAAGGCAACTGGGCGAAGATGGCTGCTGGGACAGGATTTTGCAGCAGAGGTGAAAGGGTCCCTTCACTCTCTGTCTCATCCGTGCTGTACATAAAACCCGGAACAGATGGAGACTGAATGAATTGCAACAGTAGGACAAGGTGAAGAACCTGAGTCATTAAGCTTGTCCAAACATGTGTAATTGTCTGCCTGGAACTTACACCACGGAGAGGTAGTGCCGCAATCAGCTCCCAGGTTGCCGTAGGTAGCTCTTCAAGCAATGAGTCAATATAGACGTATTTCTTTGCAACAGTAAAAGTTTATTCTCACTAAAAGATTTTCTTTTTAGAATTATGAAATGATACATTGATAGTATCTAAACAACAAAATGGGGAAATAATAATGCTTAAGTCATGAAATTGGAAGATGAAATGTAATTAAATGTAAAGTGTTTAGAATAGTTCCTGGCACCAACTCTTTCCTTCCTCCCCTCCCCCTCCCAAAAAACAACTGTTATGATTTAGGGAAACATATTTCTAGGGATGATTCCATTGAGAATCAGTCTTCTTACAATGGTATTACTGCTTTTTATAACTTGGATAAATGCACTTTTGCTCTCTATACCTATTAAATAATAATAGCACAAAGGCTGGTAGCCATTTCCAGCAGTGTGAGTCTTTTTTTGTTTCATTTCAGAATATTCACTGGTGTTTTCTCGACATTCTCAGAAGAAATTGCAATGTGAAAACTATGGCATCTTATTTAAATGTCTTCAATGAATTCTTTGGACACTGCTTCTAAAGCCTAAATTACATTAGAATCCACTCTAAGGAAATGTGATTTAGGAAATGTAATCTTCTCTGATATTTGGTTGGTAATCTTTCCAGGTAAAAAAATAAGCTGATTTGTAATCTAAAGAACTATGAAAGTGTTTCTCCCAAACTGGTGTGTTGTCTTGTTCCTCAGTATGTGAGTCAGTCAAGATGAACACATTCACTTACTTGAGTGGACATCTGTTAATACTGTGCTTAATGACATAATCCAACTGTATCTGGATTGACACATCTCATCTGTGAAAGACCAAGAGACTACCACCCTTTTGTCCAGTTCTCTAACCCATATCTTCGATTATGGACCACACTTGGAAAATGCTGCTCACTATAAACTGTCTTTCTCTAGTTCTTAAAATTATTTTAACATTCTTTAATGTCAAATGTTATTTGCTGACTTAATATAGCCAGTCATTTACTTCATATTCCACATATCATTTAGCTCCCTGCTGGGGATTACAAATGTCCAAGAAATAGTCCTTGTTCTCAAAGAATTTGTACTCTCATGAGGGAGACAGACATTAAGCATAACTGTGACAAGGGACATATGAGGGGAGCAAAGTAAGTGCAAAAGGGGACAGAGGTGGAATCAATTAATTCTTTTTTAAATTTATTCTTCATTGTATTTTTTCCATTACCATTTAGTCCCCTTATCTCCCATTCCCCCCTGGATCAATTAATTCTGATTGGAAAAAATTACCAGATCTTTCCTCAGAGTACAAGCCCTTTAGCTACAGAAGAAGCGAGAGGCCAGTTTCCATGCAAGTGGATAAGGGAATTTGCCTTGTGTCTTCAGGTGGCAGTGAGACACCCAGGGGTGGGCCTCCTGATGCATTTTCACAGGCAAAGCAGAAGGAATCCAACAGCTTTCAAGTTGTTCCCAGACCAAGGAGAAGATAATATACAAGATGTGCGATAATGAAGACACTAACTTACAATAAGATACAGAAATGGGAAAATCAGATCACTTGGTTCTCTTTGGATTTTCGTCATAAAAAATTTTAAATTATCCATCTTTCAGGCCACGGAAACAATATGAGAGCTCTTATTCACTTATTGCCCACAGCTAAGTGAGATTGAGGAAATGAATCCCCTGCCTCCTCTTCACGCCACACAATGGCAGGAGGCGCACACTCAGACTCCACTCACGGCTGGGTTAGAAGAGGGGAACAGAGGAGAAATAGGAATCAAGGAGTCTGACTCTGAACAATTTTTTAAAAACCAATTATGCTTAATGTATCCAGAGAAGGCAAACATTCCCAGCATGTTTCTGCAGTTCCAAACATTGCCTTGGATTCGTTTTCCATTTTTAGTGAAGGTATTCAGGCTTAGGTGAGGTAGCAACTTGATCCACCGAACACTCCTCTGGAAACTTGTTTTGGAATTCTTTTCTTCAAGATTAAGTATCTTGGAACGAACTGGGACCATGTTAAGACTTGTTTATAAGGTGCGTGGTATACTTTACTCCTTGCCAAAAATGCCACGTGCTTTAGTGCGGCTCGTAAATGAAGTTCATGAGAAGCACAAAGGTTCTGTGTCATCTTCAAGATTCCTTAGGAGTGAGGCACCTCCTCAGTTAGCATGGCTCTGTGAAAGCTGCGGGTTCCATTCTACCCATTGGCACACCAAAATCAACTTGCTCACAGCCAAGCATGGCCCTTGGATTCTCTCAGCTGTTGAATTGGTACCCTCCTATCAAAGGGGAGGTTGCCTAAACTGCACATAATGGACTTCAGGAGAATGAGACGAAATATCCTTTTGACGGTTGGCCCACTGCTAAGATGGCTCTTAACACTCTCAACTGCTGGTACTTGCACACTGGTGTAATCCCTTCCTCTTTTGTGAAAACTGGACCTTGTGACCTGATTTGAAGGAACAGTACAAAGCAAAAGTGCCTCCCCTCTTGCTAGCACTAGGTTTTGCTGGCACACTCTCTCCCTCTATGCTCTGTGTGCTGGTTGGTTCTGGGGAAGCCAGCTGACATATTTGGAGTTGCCCTACAGAGAGGCCCATATGGTTAGAAACTGAGGGCAGTCTCCAGTCAACCGCTGGGGAATAAATGAGGCCCTCAGGCTAAAAGTCTGCAAAGAGCAGAACCCCCTTAATGACCATGCATGTGAGTGAGCTTGGGGGCAGGCTCTGCCTCACCTGCACTCTGAGACGACCGCAGCCTGGGAAAGTCCCTGGGCCAGACAGAGGGCCCAGCTAAGCCACACCATTTTTTATAGTTTCTATAAAAAAGGAGACAATAAATGTCATTGTCTCCAGCCACTAGGTTTCCAGGTAATTTGTTACACAGCAATGGATAGCTATTGCACCTGCTTAAAGAAACGATAGGGCTTGGAAAAGGGGGCACAAAGTTTGGAAAGAAAGTAGTACATATATGTGTGTCTGTTGGAGTCACCAACCGACAGAGAGTCTTTATGACAAATGTTCTACATATACTGCTTACAATCATTGCAACACCCTGGCAAGGGTGATGTTGTTCACATATTTTGGACAGATGGAGGTTGCAGAAATGCAGTTCCTTGGCTTAGAACACATAGCTAGAAGGTGACAGAGGTGAGCGAGAAACCCAAGTCTCTCATTTGGAAGCCTTACTTCTTTCCTCTGCATTAATGAGTCGTAAGAGGCAAGGGCAGGATTGAGGCTAGGGTGGCGATGAGAACCACCGGTAAGATCTTTTCAGTGCTATTTCTGTCACTTTTCCTTTCTGGAGGCCCCTGCACAGCGTGCACTGAACGATACCACGCACTGGGGTTGGCCCAGAAGAGCACCGACCGTACCCAGGTTCAGCTATATTGCTTGCAGCTTGGGTCTGTGATGCAAAAAATTAAAATGGCACATTTCAACCAGGTTCTGATTAAGATTCTGGGAGTCCTTGGCAGCCTCTCTGGTGATTATGAAGACGACCATGAGACTCTGACATTCTGGCATTAGGTTGTTTTAATTAAGTTAAAAACAAAACAGCACCCAGAGCTCCACCATTTGATGGGCTCATTACAGGGAGATGTGTGCTGGATAACCTCAGCGACGGCCCCAAATTGGCAAAACAGGTCTGGCTACACAAGCTGGGAGCAGAGGGGATGAGTGGAGAGTGCTGCTTTCATTTGCTGGTGGCAAAAAGACTGGCATAATAGAAGAGCACGCTGCTGCACCACACCTTAGGGAGATGGGGGTGGCCCTGGGTGCTCTTTGTATGGCTTCTAGAGCTGAGCAGGGCAGCTGCAGGGTTGGTTAGACTCTGAGGACAGGCCGTGGTTCTGTCTCACCAGCTCCCGGGCCAGGTTCAGGGTCTCTCATGTAGATCTAGCCCTTCAGCTCTTGTTAGAGCTTCCCCATCCCTGGCCAGGAGTAGGCTTCTCATTGCTCATGGGTTCTCATGCGGGTCACAGCCTTGCTCCCAGAGCAGTGGCTTTTTCACCGTGTTTGTGTCAGACATCACCGTTAACGGACAAAGTCCACTCCTGGACAGGATGACTGGAGAGGCTTATTCTTCGGCTCTTTCCTGCCACCTCATTGCGCTTTTCGTACACATAGAGGGTACTTTTAGAGCAGCACTGCCCAGTGGGGTAGCCACTAGTCACATGAGGCTGTGTAGCATTTGCAAAGTGGCTGGTGAGACTGAGGAACTGAATGTGTGGTTTGATTTTATTTTAAATCATTTACATTTAAATAACCGCATGTAGCTGGTGGCTGACGTGTTGGATAGCACAGCTCCAGAGGCTGTCATCCTTATGTTATTCTTTTGTTAATTTATTTTTCGGCTAATATTTATAGAACATTTTCTGTGTGCCAGGACCATACTTTGCATTTTGCACGCATCCGTCCAATTTCACAAAACCCAGTGAAGCCCATTATATGATTTTCATTTTCCAGAGCAGAAAGTTGAATTTTAGAGAGATGCAGTGGCCTGTCTCACATCATACAGGCAAGAGACAGGATTCAAAATAAAGTTAATCTGGCCCCAGTCCCACTCTCCTGTGCAGAAGAAGGAGGCCGAATCAGATCGACGGGAGGGTGAAATAAAATGGACACAAGACGATTAACATATAACCCTTGTTAAAACGGGTTGTTTCATTTTATTGCTCATTGTAAACATTTTGGCCTCAGCAAATACATTGATTTTTAAATAACCGGAGTTCAAAGATTTCGCATCATATGCTACTTTCCCCTAAGATGTATCATCTATGAAAATAATTGGTGAACTCTGAAAATGTGTACTGATAGTGTGCACATTTACGCTATCGTGACACTAAATACAAATAATAAAAATGGTCATCTATTGTAGGTCTATGGGTTTGTGAGATATTTTACATGAGGCATTAAACAAACCCAAAAGAAGAGAGATGGCGTGTACTGAAATGGCTCCTATGTAGTGTTTGCAGAGCGTAAGAGGTATGTAATAAATGTTTACTGGTGGTGAAGATGATGAGAATTCAATTTCCGCTGATCTTTTCCTCTCCATTTTTCTTCCTCATATATAAGAAATATATGGTGCATTGCAGCCAAAATTCTCAAACTCACAGAGACCCTGACACTTTGAGCATCACAGTTACAGAGTGATTGGGTCTGATCATACTTGCAGAAGAAAGAGGAATTAAAGCGTATGTACTGTTAAGACTGTGCTAAAATCTCAGTTACTAAAATAGGCTGGAACTCTTGAATGCACTGTGTCTTCATAAGCAAGGAAATTACCAGTATCAAAAACCCGAGCAAGTCACTCAGAACAAGTCTGGCTTTTAGATCTCACTGACAAACTGTATTTCAATCAGATCAATATATTTGTAAGTAAAATATGCTACTTGTATTAGCTACCAAATTTTCTGTGTATAAGAGCAGAACTATAATTTATATCTTAGGACATTTCTTTGGTTTTATTAAGCAAAATTCATAACATTGTTTGGGGACTTCACTGAAGTATGATGATGGTGGTGGAGTAAACATTTTAGACTAACTTGCAAAGTGATACAAAAATTCACTCGCCTATTTCCAGTGTTTTCTCAGTGTAAATTTTAAGTACATAAAAGGTCTAACATAAATGTTAAGGTCACTTGCAGCACAAAATGTGGCATATTAGATTTATTTATTACCAACTTTTACACATAAAGGTAAGCACTTCATACCATTTGGATTTTGGCAAAAGGCACAACTTGATGTTAATACCTTAACCTTTCCATTAACTGTGTAACTTTTTCAAAGGACTAGGTTATCAAAATATATGAAAGAGAAACAGAAATTTTTTGCTATGCTACGTATGAATGGAATTCCACAGAACAGAATCCAAACTTCATTTTTTCTTCTTTTTGTAAACTTGTATATCTTCATGGTCAAGTTCTGAGATTTTACTTGCTGTAGATAAAATGGAATTATTTGGCTTCTAATATTTTAATCGGAAGTGAAGAATTTGTTGCTTCTGGAACCTGGTACTTTTTTTTTTCACTGTTGGAATAGCCTTTGTCATACTACACTGAGTTTGTCATACTACACTGAGTAAAGTCAGATGACTTTTCAGTGGCAGTCGCTATCATTGAAGAATTCTTGGGTTTGAGCAACTTTGAATCCCTTTGACTCTGTTTTAACTTTCAAAGTAAATAGATGAGATTGAACTATTCCAGTAGGTTTTATCTTTGGAGGCACACAAATTTTATCCCATACCTACATGAAACATAAGGAGAACTTTTGAGGTCCGCTGGACCCTTCGACCATTTGATTTAGCTGCCCCTTCTAAGGCATTTCTCTAACAGATAGTCAGCCAGTTCTGTCTTCTCAAAAGCTCCAATTGCTCTTTCTCATACTGAAACCAAAGTCCCTGTAACTTCCATCCAGTGCTTCCAATGGTATAAGGCACAGACTAGGTTCTTGTGCACTTGCTCAGCATTTATTGATGAAAGAAAGGGCAAACAATTCTAGTTCTGACTCTTAAAGTTATGTGAAATATGGAATATAGTGCTTTCTTTGGATAGTCCAGGCTATTTTCCTGTATCACGTAAATCTTCTCTTTTCCGGGATCAGTATCGCAGTATCATTTTCAGATATTTAATCTGTCTCATTACTCTCCTCTGAATGTGTTTAGGTTGATTAGTAGATCTCTTTAAATGTGGTTCCATCAAACCAAACATAATACTCCAGGTGGGGTCAGCTCTGAGAAGGGTTAAAAATTCTGTGTCTCTTAGCCTGGACATTCCACTTGACACATTGTTTGATCCAAAAGACTATTCCTTTCAGCAACCTTTTCCTGTCTATTTCTGAGTAGAGGCATTTTATTCTGGGCAAGAGCTGTGGCTGGCACATATTCTCTTCTGGGAGGAGGATTATTTCCTTGAGTGCCCAGGATAAGGAGGGGGTGGAGACCGCTGTGCTGAAGCCTGTGGCGTTGGGGAGTAGGGAGGAGGCAGTTCTGCGCAGTATTCCATCTCCCGGTTGTAACTATAGGGGGGCGGCGCCACTGCAAAAGAAAAGGAGAAGGGCATCAGGCAGGTAGCAAATATCTGAGTGCCCTCCATGTTTGTCACTGTCCTGAGAGTTGGGAGAGGACATCATTTTTGCCTGTAAAACTCTTGAGTTTTATCAGGCTGAGGGCACACCTAAAACAGGGTGGGTGCTGTCAAAAGTGGTGCCATTGGCCAAAGTATTTAGGGTTGGTGGCTCAGGGGGCGTTTCTGGGAAGTGTGGTGCTGATGGGCAGGGAAAGAAGAGGCTAGGGGGGACTTCAGCAAAAGAACAGATGAAGGAGAACTTTTTTTTTTAAAGAAAAAAGTACATGGAGGAGAGAAATGGGAAAAATGGTGAGGAATCTGATTGTATGACCATCATGGTGGGCTTTGAAAATTATGTAAGGGATGTGTGATATACAATTATCAGAAAATTCTTTTGACTATGCTAGTGAATATGCTTTGGGGTGATTGAGTCGGACTAGGGAAAAGGTGAGAGGATTTGAGAGTCATGTGAGGCATTATGGGGGACTCCGAGCAGGGGGCGGATGGGAACCAGCAGAACCCTCGGGCAGTGGAGTGTTTAGGGAAGGACTGGGTAGGTGTGGAGAGTGAAAAAAAGTGTTGAAGTCCTGGGCACCCAGTACTGGGCTCCCATAACTTGAAAGGTCATGGAGCCATTACAAGAATAAGATTGAGGAAAAAAAAAAAAAAAAGAGGACAAGCAGATTTGTGAATAAAGATGATGAACTTAGTTTTGTAAATCTTATTTGAAAATTTTTCTTATATTAATTTTTATTGTAATCTATGCAGTGTGTTTTTAAATGATGTGTAATACACTTTATTTGGACTCTGTGTGAAGGTCTTTTATGTAGCGGTCTCCATCCCTTCTCTAGATTGGGTGAGGCGTCACCCGAGTACGCCATGTCTTTAAGAACCCAGTCACTTGGCAGCATGCAAGCAAAGCCTCAGCAAGCCCTGGGATGACTTGCCAGTACTTGAATAGTCATCAAGATCATGATTCTACTTGGAATGAACGTGTTTAATTGCTACTGTGAATGGAGCCTAAATCACAAGACTGTTGTCATAACAATGCGAAAACAAAAACAAACAAAAACCCCAAAACCCAAAGGCCAGGCTCTAAACGTTAGAATGGGAGGAAAGAACAAGCAACATTGCAACATCCTTATTTCTAAGATGTCTTCTAAAACAAAGAAAATGATCGTGTTCTGATTGATATGCGTGCACAGACACTGGGTTTCATCCTATTTGCAAACACAAACTGTGTTTCTTCTGGATTCCTTGAAGTTGGCTAACTTTACCAGGAGCTTAATGATTTGAACTTCTGCCTAGACTCAGGGATGTGAGGAAGCAGAATTGAGTCACTCAAGGCAAGAGGAAGATGGAGACACAGAACTGGGTGGGATGTCCTCCGTGGGTTTCTCTGGTCAGCAAAGGCCCTGCAAGTCGGAGCAGGCTGCGAGCTGCTGACAGAGGATGGGGCTCTGCAGAGAAAGCAGCGACGATGTGTATAGCTTCTCCACGGCTGCTTTGGACCTGTGGGGGCTGGGCTATTCCAAGCTTTGTTTTCTACAACAAAATGGAATAACTCCTGCGGAATCTAGACCCACGTTCCCTCTGCATTACGCCCACTCCTTTGCTTCATTATGTCTAGGGCTGAGACAAACAGATTTATAATGAACTTCCTCAAAGCCAAGAAATGCAGTCTCCATGTAAAATAGGAAGTTTCAGCTGGATACCCATTGAACTGTTTCTTTTACGCATGGGGTTTTAAGTTGTTTTTATATCGAAGCCTTTCGCTGCCTCCCACGTGAGGCACACACACGGCGTGATTCTACAGGCTGACTGCATCATTCTCTGTCACGAAGCCGCAGTGCGTGGTTCTGCTTCGGTAACAAAGTGTTATGTTTTGCCATCTGCATAAAAACTGCTGGAGGACATTTCAGTGAGATTCCCCATGGTTTACACAGCTGCATGTTGAACATGAAAATCTAACATATGAAACAGCGTTCTTTCTGTCATACAGCCTTTGAATTTTGATAAAAGGAAAATATAATGCTGAAGAGCGATATTTTGAGGACTATCCATCATGAAATAAACATGGCACATCTTTCATGGTAGCAGCTACTGGAAGACATTTTGAAATAATACTTGTATAACTGTGGGCTGTGCTATCTTCCTTTCTTGCAGATAATAAGGTTTCACTAGGAAGTAAACTTTTCATGGTATCAATTTTTAGCATTCCGGATTAACTCTAAGAAGATTTGTTCTTCCTTAAAGGTTAAGTCATCTTTAAAAGACATATGGATACAGATGGAGATATGGTGTCTTAGAAATTCTTTCATAACCAATATTTCTGATTTCAGCAGAGCAAACATGCCATTTATTCTTAATGTCATTATAGTTGTCTACAATATTAGAACATTTAAGAATGCTCTGAAATTCACAGAAGTAATTTAATGTTTTTCACCCACTCAGGCCAACAGTTATAAAGCAAATGCAAAGGGAAGATGCATGGTGTTATCAAAACTACATGGCATTATTTTAGAAAATTTGGAAACAGAAAAATCATCCATAATGTTGTCACCACAATTTAACAAATATCATCTTTATTTTTAATATTATTTTTAGTATTTCTTTTATTGTTGTTCAAGTACAGTTGTCTCCATTTTCCTGCCACCACTTTCCCCTGCCCCCCCCCCCCCCCCCCCCCCCCCCCCACCCCCAACCCTTTCCCCCATTATCCCCTTCACCCGGCTCTGGTCTCTGTCTGTTCTTTTTTTCAACACCTCTGGTTTTATCTTCCTTGCTTGTTTTTTTTGTTGATTAGGTTCCACTTATAGGTGAGATCAAATATTATCTTTATATATTCTCTTCTAGTCATTTGTGTTTTTTATATCCTTGTACTCATATAAAAAGGTACATGCTTTTAACATTCTTCATAATGTAGTCTTTTTCATTGTGCTATACATTCTTCATAAATGTTATTGTTAATAGCTGCATGTTATTCAAATGACCATTCACTTGTTTTGAAATTAACAATTTTTTATTATTATAAAAAAAGGACTGACGGATATCTTTTTACACAAAGATTTCTTTTGAATTAGTTCTTCAGAATAAAATTCTAGGAATCAACTAACTGGCCATCATTTACTATTTTTGTCTTCCTTGTTTTTATTTTTTATCTTATAAAAGCTTCCTGCCTTCTGCCCGTCTTGTAATTCACCACACGAAGACTGTCTAATTCATGGTGTTGGTTTGTATCACTTAAATTGTCTTCTTTAATTATTTTTTAAACACACGTAACCCTGCCTCTCAGTCTGTTTGACTTCTTGCACTCAAAAACCATTTTCTCACCTTGGTGTAAGCAATAATGCTACCATTCTGTAAATCTGACCACCACTCTTTATCTTTCTAGAATACGCATTCTAAAACATCTAGAACCTGGGTTTTCAATTTATTGACGGCATTTAAAAAAATAATAATTTAAGATGATGTCACCTTTCTTTTTGTCTTCATATCTTTATTCAGCTTAGATTTATGATCCAGCACAGAAATTATTTCTGTACACCTACCGTTAACTTGCTTATCTCTCTTTCCCCATTGCCTGATGAGACTCCAATCCTAATTAAATGCATTTTAACTACCCCAGTTCTGTATCTAGGAGCTTAATGTAGGAGGGTAAAAATGCACAGTTGTGCTGATTGATTTCACTTTAAATGAATGACCATATTCTTAAGTGTGGAGGCCACTGGCAGTGCTTGGAAATTAAGCATTTCTTTAGGCTTTCCAGCACCCTCCATTCTCTGAGATTACGGTTTCACGCTTTTGTCTGTCTGCTCCCCTGCAAACACCTCCTTAATTTACTTTTAGCGTAAGACCTGCTTCTTTTTTCACTAAGGAAATAGGCACAATTAGAAGACACCTTATCACTAAATCCTCCCTGGATGGGTACATGAAAGCCTTCCCATGTTCAGTACTATCTCAATAAGGTCGCCCTCTTTTGTTAATTCAATAATGCAAATGGAGTGTTGATTTCTTAATGAAACATCTCCAAGAGATTTTAAATCCTGCAAGCCAGTTATTTTACAGAATGTTCCTCAACCTGGGTTTGTCTGATAACTTTTCATGCTAAGGTTCAGGCTGTGAACTTCCAGCCGGAACACTACACAGAGGAAGCTGTGTCACTCTCAGAGGTACACTCAAAGATGCAAGATGTTCATCTGTCTCTCTTTGGTGATATTAAGTTTTACTTCCTGGTCAAGATATCATCTGATTTCTTCACTTTTATAATTAATAAGGATCTGGGAATAGAAGCTTTAAGGGCATGCATGTATCCTGCTCCTCAGCAACCTTTCCCCCCAGATTTATCATCAGTCGATGATTCTTGTCCTAAACCTTTAACCTGGTGGTTTTAAAATGATGAATTTTCCAACTCCACAACTCCTTTTTACATGTGACCTTTGGCATTCTTCTGTTAGCAAGAGCTTCCCTCTCCTTTTCCATTGTTTATCTGTGTGTGTCTGTCTATCATCAATCAATCATCAGGGAACTCAATAATGCACTTCCAATCTCAATTGTCTTGATAGCATTAAAAATCTCTTGTTTCCCTTTTATTGGCATTTGGTTTTTATATCTTTGCAAAACCTTTCGTTATGGTCTTTCTGTATTATTTTCTCTCAGGTGTATATAATCCAAACCTACTTTTAAAAAAGGGGTTAATATGATCACATTTCTTCATTTACATTGGATTTCTGGTGAGTAGTGGAAATGGAAGATTTGACAAATAATTCTTAATTTCCCACAGATGGTTTTAAAAAAATTGTAATTGAACAGGACACCGTTATTCTACCCAACATGGCAGGAATAAAAAACTATTTGAGAAGGTCACTGTCCACCAAAGGCTCAGGGGTGGCAGATTACCTTTTCTTGGTCATCTCCCCCCAGTGCTGAGTAATTATGTTCACTGCGGGGTTCCCCACTGAGAACGTGCACCAAGGGATAAGATAACAATGGCTAAATGATTTTCTACGCAATTATGTGGCCTCCAGCCTGTAGGACTATAGAATTTGGACTCAACAACCATGGAGATAACTTGGGTTGCTGTGTCTATTATCACAAGGTGAATTAATTAATGTGGGTAAAAACATTTTATATCTCCACACATAAAGATTTCAAAAGCATTCAATTCTACTGAGTTGTTTCCTCATTCTTTAAGTAAAAGCTTAATTAGTGTCTTTGAGAAGGAAATGAGAAGTAATCAAGTATAGTATGTTTTGAAGACCTTGTCTTTTTGCAGTGAAAATGCTTTTACCCTAAGGTCTATTATGTTTCTTGCATCATTCAGCTACCAGAACCATGCGTTTGCTAAAAATGCAACACACCTCTGTGATCTGCTGGAGTTAATGGCGCCACTGTAAAGTTTTAAAAACATGTTTCTATGTATAAATTGAAACTTCAAACCCGAAAACACACAGGACTTCACATGGAAGTATTTTATATCTTCTATTCTAATTTTATAAAAAATATTTTTAAATGTTTTAAAAATTAATTTTAACTAAACTTTTCCTGGTCAAGCAAAGCTGTACTGAAGTGTTATCTACAGAGCACTTCTCTTTGCCTTCGCTCTAGCTAATGTCTGTCTGACTCTCCTCTGTTTTTCTCTTGGGTTATGGGTTGGCCACATAAAAATGAGATGTGAAGAACAAAAAATAATTCCCCTATTTTTTCCCTTATACCTTAGTCCTAGCATCATCATACTAACCTCAACAATATTCTCAGTAAGTTGGGAAGATTCAAAATTGTGAACTGCTTTTGCACTGAATGAAAGCTATATACTCCAGAGGAGAATTTAAGGTAAATTCCCTAGGTACTATATCTAAATCAGGTCTTGTCATGAGCTGTGTTGTTAAGTCTTTCAGCCATGTCTGCTGAGTGCCTGTTATGTGCCAGTCCTGATCTCATGTGTTTGAGACTTAGTGGCGAACAAAATAGGAAAAGATTCCTGCCTCATGGAACTAATATTCTGGAAGGAGGAAATAAACAATAGACAATAAATATAACTATTAGGAAAACTATATGGTATATTGAAAGATTAAAAACACTGGGGAAAGATGTATAGCAGAGTTAAGGAGTATTGGGTGCTGTGGGGAGGGGCACAGTATACTCTTAACTAAGGTGACCAGGGCAGGCCTCACTCAGGAGATGACCTTTGAGCAAAGACTTGAATTAAGTGAGGGAGTCAGTACTCTAGACAAAGCCCTAAGTGGGAGGTGGTGTGCCCTGTTGGTTCACAGACCAGCAAGGGAAAGTGGGACTGCAGCCAGAGTGATAAGAAGGAAAGCAGAAGGAAATGAGGTCAGAGAACTAAAAAGAGGAGCCAAATCATACATTGCTTTGAAGGTCCTGGTAAAGAATTTGTCTTTTACTTTAGATAAAAGGAGGAACCACTGGCATTGACTCTTCCTCTGAGGGAAATAGGAAGCCAATGAAGAATTTGAGCAGAGTAGTGATATGATGTGACTTATCACTATGTTGAAAGGTTCACTCTGGTAGTACGTTGAGATAGACCCTGGAGGCACAAAGGAGGGTTCTGGGAGAGCACTTAGGATGGTGAGAGCTGATGGTGGCTCCCATCACGGAAGGAACAGTGGGTACTGTGAGAAGTAGTCAGATACTGTATATACATGTATTTTGAAGATGGAGATGAGAAATTTTCCTGATAGAATGCATGTAAGTTTGAAGGACAGAGAGGAGTCAAGGAGGAGTTCAAAATTTTTAGTCTGAACAACTGGAAGGCTAGAGATGCCACCAACTGAGATGGAAAAGGTTGTAAGTGGAGGAGGACTGGAAGGAATGGTCATGTTTAGACACTTTAAATTTGAGACGGCTACTAGGCATCCAAATGGAGATGTCTAATAGGCAGAGAGAGAGAGAGATCAAATAAATCTGAAATTCAGTAAAGAGGTTTGGAATGGAGATATGTAACTTTTGGAAGCATTAGCATGTAAATAGTACTTAATACCATGAGGTAAATGATATAATCAAAGAAGTAAGTGTAGATGCAGGATAGAAGACTCAAGACTGAGCCTTGAGTCATTTGAACATAAAGATACTGGAGAGGAGGAAAAGTTGACAAAAAGGGAACAGGAGAAAGGGTTATTCTCACATTCATCTGAAGTTTGCTTCCTCAAGTTGAAGACTGAAGAAAAGGGTAAGAAAAGAAGGAAGGACTAGGAAATTGATATAAAAGTTAGATTGTATGGAGAAGGTGACCTTGTTATTTTCTATAAAGATTGAGAGAAAGGACATGAGAATAGATGAGAAGTTATCTTCTTAAGGATATGCTAAATTTAGAACTTGACCCCCTTTTATATGTCAAATTGTACATACACAGATTGACTTAGAAAACACTATTGAAATCATCTAATGCAAAACATAGTTAACAACGTCATATATGTTTAAGATATTTATATGTGGAACTTCTAGCAGATTCTCAATAGATACTTGCCAAATTATTAATGTTACCTTTGCTATTTGTTGGGAATTTTAATATTATGTTAAAACAGTTGTATCTGCATAAAGAGGACACATAACAACTTTCTCCAATATTTTTTCGCAAAACATACATATCTATTAGTTCAGATGCTAGTTTATTCAGACATGTAACTTATACTTTCTCTATAATTATTTGTCAAAACTCACTGGCAGATAAGCACAGCGGGTGCAAATTATTTCTTTTAACCCCGGCTGATTGGCAATTGTAGGCAATGAGACAATCATTGAAAATATAAATGTCTTCAAAGATGAGGTGGATTTTATTATTTGGATCTAAGTAATCTCCACTGAAAGCTAGTTTCACTCTACATTGATTTAGATATACACTACATACTTGGAGATTATTCCATTGGGAGAGGTTAATGGTTTCCTCTCTCGAAGGAGGAGAGCGTAGCTAACAAATCTGACTCTTCCATGACATGATGCAAGCGATTTTGCTTACCAGGGTAGGAGGTGATGGCATTGATGCGGGCAGTGCTGATGACTCCCACCCGGGTCCCACGGTTGTTTTTCATGCACATGCAGACACATATGGCGATTCCAGCAATGACCCCCATGATAAATACGATCCCAAACACAATGCCGGCAATTGCTGTGCCCCTAAAAAAGAAAAGCAACAGTACATTTATTGAAAAGTCTCATAAGGATTCTTTGGACTTTCATAGACAATTCAATAACTATATGACAAGTGCTTCTTTATGAATGTTCTTAAGGATAATATTAAAAAAGGTAATTCTCTGAGAATAGTTTCATGTATTTCAATGAATAAATAAAAGTGACAAACCTTTAGGGAATCCTCTTCCAGAACAGTATACCTATCATTCAGATTCTGGTTTTTAAAATTCACGTATTTACCCTGAGAACACCAAAACGCCAATACAAAAGAACCTATGCACCCCAATGTTCATAGCAGCACAATTTACAATAGCCAAGTGTTGGAAGCAACCTAAATGCCCATCAGTAGATGACTGGATCAAAAAATTATGGTACATATACACAATGGAATATTACGCAGCAGAAAGAAAAAAGAAGTACTAAACTTTGCGACAGCATGGATGGAACTGGAGAGCATCATGCTAAGCGAAATAAGCCAGGGGGCGAAAGACAAATACCATATGATCTCACCTATAAGCGGAACCTAACCAACAATGCAAAGAAGCAAGGAAAATATGACCAGCAACACTGAAAGGAAAAGAAATCAACAGAGACAAGAGGGAAGGGTGGGGGCAGGGAAAGGGAAGGGAAGGGGAAAGTCAAGGAACATATAGCAAGGACTCATGGACAAAACCAAAGGGGAAGAGCTGAGGGAGGGAAGGTGGGAAGGGGCAAGGGAAAGAGGTGGGGGGAAGGCAGAGACAAATGTATTTAAAAAGTAAATAAATTAATTAAAAAAAAAAACTTATAAGGAATAAAAAAAATAAAAAATAAAATTCATGTATTTATACAAAACATAATTCTCCAGATATGCTATCTAAAATAATAATTAAAAAACATTCTACTGTGTAAATAACAAAGAATTTATCTACTTTCTATAGAGTATATGTGTTTAATGGAGACAACTTGAGAAATGTCAAAATAATACATTAACATTTATTCTCATTAAAACTCTTCATAAAGAAAAATAAAAAACAATATCACACAAAGGAAAGTAATTAGAATGCTATGGGATTTCTCTACAACAATCCCAAAATCTAGAAGGCAATGAACAATGCCTTCATATTTCTGAGAAATAGTGTCTTTCAAGTTAGAATTCCATACCCAGTCAAACTACCAACAACTGAGTGTAACATTAAGACATTTTCAAGCATGCAAGGTCTCAAACATTTATCTCCCTTGTACTTTTCTTTAAGAAGCCATTCAGGAATATGTTTCAGGGAACAGGGCAGTTCACCAAGAAAGAACAAGAATATGTCTGTGCCTGCATCTAGCTGCATATACCTCTCTCTCTCTCTATATATATATAGAATTATAATTTCACATAGTTAAATTACTACAAATATTATTACAATTTCATGTGTAAAATGCTAATAAAAAGTAGAAACACCAATCTATATCATTTTCCCAGTACATGTATTTTACTTGCAAAAACATGCTGTAAAATTCAGATATGCCAAAGATGTTTACTTTGCTTTTTTTTCATGCTAGTCCTTCTCTCTAATAACTTCCCTCTATAATTATTTGTCAAAACCCTTGAGGCGCTGTAATTAATTTCTCTGTTATGCTCAGAATAATAAATTTCCCTGATTTCCTGACTCTACCCCTGTGATAGAGATGTGTCCACCTCAGTACCTGTTCTCTATATTTTCCTTCATAAAAGAACTCTTGAGGGTTAATTTGGGTACATGACTACCTGAAATAAATACTATATCTCCTAGATACTCCTAAAACTAGTCTTTTTGGTGATAAATTTATAGAAAATAGCTGTAAGTAAAATATTTTGTGACATCACATAAGAAAATATCTTAAAAGATGGGAGGATTGGGCTTTTTCCTGTGCTCCCCATCTTGTTTTCTGAAATATGGACGTAATGGCTGAGCTCTCATCTCAATGCCAGACCATGAGGACAATCTGCCTAGAGATGGAAGAGGTATGAGTTTGATGGAGTGTGCATCTCTAGAAGATATGGAGAGGCTATATCAGCCCTGAGGTGCCTCTCTCTGAACTCCCTTTACATGAGAGAGAAATATAAACTATTTAATTTTTTTTTCATTAAAATCTCTACTTTAGAGTGTGTGTGTGTGATATAAGCTGCTTAACCTAACCTCACCTAATCCAGCTTCTTTGCCAAGATTAACACATTAAAACAAAAAGAAGTCTTTAATGTGGAAATAGCCGTTTTCGGGAACATACATATACTCTGAGGTCCCCGTGAAAGGTTCCAAAAAAAGCATACCAGAACCAAGAAAGTATGAGACTGCATTCAATTTCTGCTAAATTGGGATCATTCTTTTTCCATCTCATGTGGCTAAATTTTTATGATTTAGTAAGAAACCTTCAAGAAATCTTTACATTGTCTAGACATCAAGGAAGTATACACAATGAGAATAAAAAATAGTCTTGAAGATGTTGGGAATGATGGACTGACCTGCACAATAACACTTTTTTTCAGTGGAATTCAATAATAAATGATTTGATTGATTAAGGCAAACATTCAGGCCAAAAAATATCCTTTGAGAATGGGTTGGTTTGTACTTATTTTCACTGATCTAATTTTTTGAACAAGTGCCCAATTCTTATATTAGATTCATAAAGTAAGTTCAATGAAGTTCAAATGCATGTAATAAAATAAGAGTAAGAAACAGAAATCTGTGTAAAGATTTCCTGAGTTATATTACTTGATATGTTCTATATACTATATGGGTTTTATGTGTCATATATCCTGCCAATGTAGCCTTAGCACAACATAACATACTGTCAGTCCAAATGCAGTCATTCATAGTAAAATTTCGAGAAACTTTCTGTGCAATATACATGAATGTGATTCATTTCATGGCAATATTTGGAAGAGCAGTTTTGACCCACACATAAATCAGCTTAATTTTCCAGGCATGCCTGGGAGGTGTTTGATTTATTCCTGTCATTATGCTTGCAGTTCTAAATGGCTGCAACTAGATAGCAAATTTCATGAAATAGAGTACATATTGCATATCTCTTATGTGCTAGGCACTATGCTGGGCGAAGGAATATAAAGGTAAGTTGTGAATGGAAGCTTCAAGGATTTGAGAATGGAATAGTAAGCAAAGAGATTTTAAAGGTCAACTTTTTCTAGGCATAGAAGACTAAAACAAAAAAAACAATTAAAGAATTTGATCATATTCAGCAGAATAGAACAATAATATGAATGTAATTTTTTAAAAAAACAATATGAATGTAATAAACTAAAGAGAGTAGTAATGATTTCTCAATACTTAATTGCATATGGAGTTTTCTGACCCAGAGGATGCTTTTGTGCAATAGAATCCAATCCACTTATTTTGCACGCAAGGACATCAAATCTGTGAGAGGCTAAAATAAAGATCTCCTAGTTAGTTCCCTGGTAAAGAGATCTCAGAGGCCCTGATCCCCACCCCATGGCCGTGTGTACTGCGGTGGCCTGCCCTGCTCAGTCACTCGTCTGCTTGGCAAACATTATGGAGTCTCTTCACTCTGCCAGATTAGTGGACAAAGCCTTATTGGGAAGCGGAGAAGAGGAGATAAAGGATTCCTGGAACGTTTGGGAAACTGAACCTCTGAAATCTGATGACTAGATTGAAGCGGGGAGTAAGTAAGAGGCGAGAGTATGAAGTGTCTTCATTGCAGGCGGTCGCGCGACCCTTGCTGCGCAGTGGACAGTTCATGAAAGTATGTTGAAATGAAGACTGTACGAGACATGCAACCGAAAGCTAGATTTAAATAGGAACAGCCGCTGCACATAGGTTTCCTTGCCTCTTCCTTTTAAACGTAAAAATTTCCCAGTTACAGCTGGATATAATTCTCTCATTTCTAATGCTTCAGCACAGCTCACCGTTTGGAAGTAACCTTTGCTGAAACTTCACACTGAGCTAATTACCTTAACTTACAATGATTACTTTAGACAGGACTTTCTTCTCTTCCTTTCTATACCTTTTTATCATATTTTGAGTGGAAATAAATCACAAAGCAGTTTTTGAACAGTGACGATAAGAATTTCTATTGAAAATCTATTTGTTGAGATTTAAGTCCTAAGAGCATATAAGACTTAAGGGACTGAATCTGATTATGAAAATGCAAAGCCCACAGGGTATAACCTGCTTTCTTTTCCATTGACTCCAGCATGGAGTGTTTCAAATAAATCTGGAGGCTCACACCATCATTGACCTGGCGGAAGAGCAGCTACAATAACTTTCAGACTTGGACATTGAAAAATTTAATAAGATTCCTATAGGACTGAAGTGGACGTTGGAAGTTGTAAACCTTTCCAAATTAACTAATGAAACCAGTAACAGAATACAATGACATAATGGACTCTTGGCAGTGAGTCCACATGTGTTTTCTCCTGCCATGCTGCCAACCGCTTGCCTGTGCATTACAAGGGAGTCCACCCACCTAAGCAACTGTAATCCTCTTCCTGGGCCTTAGCAGGTTCCCATTGTCTGCTGAGACAAGCCTGTGACTGATCATTGTTTACTGGGGAGATACCTTGTGCTAGGTCTGACAACAATTTGCTCAGTTCTGACATTTATCATCAGCACATGACTCTAATGAGCTTGTGGCTTCTAAGATGCAAATGTTGCTGCCTGATCATACCTCTTTGAAGGCCTTGCTCACATCATCACCTGTGCCCACCTGATGTGGTTGATTGGGTACATCACACTTTGGCTTCCTTGCTGGATGTAGCCTCATGCTCGTTCTAGTGATTCTTAAAGCCATTCACAAGCAATACATCCTTATCACTGTCTTACTATTATTCCCTTTCACTGTAGATGGTTGCCTCTATATAGCTCCAAACAGCTCCTGAGTTTTGTGCCTTATAATTATCCATGAGAGAAAAACTGAATCCAACCATGTCTTTTTGTCTCATTCCAGGAGAGACAATCCCAAGAAGAAATGGGATTAGCTCAGCGGGAGTTGAGGACCCACCT